TGGCAGATGAATAATAGTGCTTCAGTTCCAGCTGGTGAGTGATGATGTCCTGGATTATTTTTCCATAACACAAAGAAAATGTTATAGTTTCCTTTAGTAATGGGATTTTGGGGCAGGAGAGCCTCACCTAGCCCTGCTCTCTGCAGCACACAGATCTACACAAGTGGCAAAGAACTGGTGCAGCAGGGCTTGGAAGTAAGGCTGTCAGCTTAATACATTGTGTGAAAATTGGGGCCGAAGGTCAGCAATCTCCTGGTACACAAATCTCCCTCTGAGAATCTCATTTCATTCAGACTATCAGTTAGATTAGAAATACCCTAATTATCCCACTGAAATTAAATTACTTTATGTAAGGGTGATATAATGAACAACCATAAAGAAGCTATACAACCAATCATCCTATTAGTCACAGCAAGCCTAGACTATACTCTAAATGGCTCTGGTTTGATTATTGCGGGCTGGTCTGTGCCACATAAACTGGGGGGAAGGGAAAGACCAAAGGAAAGATTAGTTTTGATTTCTTTTTCTGTTTTACTGGGATAAATAAACCAACGGTCCAATTCACAGTGCCTGTCTTCTATGTGAAAAAAGGTGTATGCTAGATTGTCACAGGAGGCATGCTGTAGTAGTCTTCATGAATTACAAAGTCATCCACTGGCTGACTTTCCTAGTTAGAACTTGAGAACTGATTACTGGGTGACCGTCTGAGCGAGGATGGAGGTGCTACTGGATGAGGACAAGCAACAGCTTTGAAAGGGCAGAAGAACTTCAGAGATCTGCTTTAGCTGGATTTGCCTATTTTAATAGTTGTACTTTGGAGGCTCTGTTTAAATGTGAAAGGATGGATTATCAATTTCTCACAGAATCCTAAAGATCTTAATGAAGTAGATGCTGTGAGCTGCTAACACACTAAAGCTAGCTGGATATATGAGTATTTATAGCTCGATTAATTCAGGTGTAAATGTCAAATGACTATTTTAAAACACGGACATGAAAGAGATGCAGGTATAGAGAGAGGTATCCTAGGAAACAGTAGAAAAGTGGGAATGTCTCACTACTTTGATCTTCAGTCTGTTGTTACGAGGCTAATTTTATGATGTGCTGCAGGGCAGTGCCGCTTCGCTGAAGTTCCATCCTGCAGAGATGCAGGCTGGGTGTTGAGCTCTCTTCAGATGATGATGCACTCTTAGATTGATTCATGAAATCTTTGTAGTCCAGAATAGATATCTGCAAAGGAATCTGCAAGCTTCAGTTACTGTTTTCTTCTCCTGTTAGTAGTGCTATGTAATCTGTCAGCAGTATAACATGACATGTGGCAGTGCTGACCTGTGTGTTTCACTGAGTCTGACATATGCCATGTGTTGTCCAGGGTAGTCATGCAATAGAACGGTATTTTGGGAAGGCAGCAAACCATCTGAACACTGTAAATATCAGAGGAAAAAAAGTTCCTATAAAAGAGCGTTCTACAGTTTTGAAGTTAAATGTTTTATTACTGAATGTCTCATCGTGAATGCAAGCAGAAGGGAAGGATGAAACACTGATCAGAAAGTGTGATTTGAATCACCAGTCAAGAATATTGTCCTACGTCTTCAGCTCAGCTTCTAACAAATATGTAGGCATATGGAATACCTACTGAAATCGTTTTTCTTTTTTTGTGACAACAGGTAGGAAAAGAATAAAGTATCTTGGTCATCGTGCTGTTTTGGGAAGTGTAACGTTTTCAGTGAAGAATTAAATGAAGAGATCCAAGTGAGCAAAGTCAGTGTTAGGGGACAGTGATGAACTTGTGTGGGGATGTTAAGCCTGCTGTAGCTGACCGTAGGTAACTTCTGTTCACATCTGGGGATAATTAGGAACATTAAACAAAAATGTTTGTTGAAACTTTATTACGTTGGGATTTTTGATGTAAGGAAAGGGACTTTGCTGGAACTAATATGCAGGACTCTCTGGGTCTGAAGGAAGCAGAGCTTCCCCCATTACTATAAGCAGAAGTTAATTCTGTTTCCATAGATTGCTTACCTGAAAACCTATTGAAAAATCTTCCATTCTTACTATGTTCATTTCTGTATATTCTGTAATTTTTGTATGATGTGGGGAGGGGGTGGGCTTGAAGGGGGGAATGATAAATTAATTCTGAATGACCTGGTGAATGGAAAAGCCTTTAAAGATCATGTGTGCTTTTTTTTTTGGGGGGGGGGGGGGAGGGAGGGAAGGGGGCAATAGCACTGACAGCAGAGAATATAAATTGCTACATGGGATCCTGAAACTTTCAGTGGCTATTCACTGAATATTAGCCTACAGTTCTGTGACCAGTGATCAGTGCCCTTTTAAGATCTCTGGCTTTCTAACAACAACAACAAAAAAAACCCCATGTTCTTATCTGTGTGAAATTTCCTAAGTGATCTACTTAATGCAGATGCCCTATTCAATCCTTTGGAAAAAGGGTGGTGGGGAGGGATGTGTGCCTGGAACAGTGTGTGTGGTACACCTGTGCCTGATTTATCACCGTGTGGCAAAGCCAGATCAAGGCAGCAGCATACAGTAATTAAATGGATGACTGATAAGCAACAGCTGGGTAGATGAGATGTTTTAGAAAAACAGGAGCATTTAATGGTGCAGCCTAAAATCTTTCACGAGTGCATATGTTTATATAATAAGCTATTTCAGAGAAAAACTTTATTAAAAAAAAAAATAGAGGAGAGGAGATTTTCTGTAATTTTCTAGGAGATGCATTACTCCAGCAGATAACTGTTGTTGACCTTTCTGGTACTCTTTACAGGAAAAAGTGTGTGCAGGATTTGACTTTTCTCAAATTAAAAATTGTTAGCATCAATTATCTCATAAATTAATCAAAGCTGGATTTTCCAGCTTAGATTGGACACACTCGTGGAGTGAGGCATCTACTTTTGCAGCACACCTTTGAGCAAGGGCTGGAGGTTTTTACCTCGACAAGAAGGAGCAGTTTGAACAAGTAAGTTCTGTCCAGTTGATTCACTTGATGTTTGCCTAGTAATAGCAAAAAATCCAGTAATGAATGCAGTGAAGGCAAAATACTGGGATGTTCCAATGCTCCAAGTTCGCATTGAAAACTGACACTGGACCAAAATTACTTGCACTTAAAACGTTTGAGATAAGCATTTGCAAAGTTCTGCCTTCCAAACTGACACTTTGGTCATTGTATTTAAGCACAAATCTGAAGTCTTACTGGCCTAATGGTGGTGTTAAGGATGGCTTGTATTTATACCTTCAGGCATTGTATAGGTTTAAATCATATGAGCTCTCCTGTGTAGATCATTGAGAAGAATAGGCTGTATTTAAGACTTGATATAATTTAGTTTAATTGTTCCTGTGTATCTGTGACAGTATGTCATGCTTGTAGTGTAGTGGGAACATGAGTTTCTTCATACGTCAGCATCCAAGCAGAAATTTCTATTTAATTTGTGTGCTAGAAGCTTCTCACTGCTGAGCAAAGCAATTAAGCATTTCTCATGCTTCTTTTCTAGACTTTTGCTTTTTATGTAGTTTGTTGCTTAGTCTTCTGGTTGTGATTTATTTCAGAATGGTATCAAAGTTTTGATTTTTCTGATTTCTGGAGAAAAAGATTTTAACTTCAGAGATTTTGGCTTGGTAACTCAGGCTAGCTTCTCTGTCCCATGTGGTAAATACTTTAAGCCCTCAGAAGTAAACAGTATTCTCTTGAATTTCATTAGAAACATCTTTACAATTAGGAGAAGATGTTTACTTGAAATGGCAAGAATTATTTTTTCTCTTCTTAAATCCTGTGAGATTCATACTGAACTTCAGGCGTAACTGTCTTTCTAACTCACCAGTATCTACTGCTGGGATCAACTTGTGACAGCACCAGATGAGGGAAAGGCACAATTGTTTTGCCATGACAACTTTTAACAACTTTGAAATAAAAAAAATAATAAATAAATAAATAAAAAAAAACCAACACAAGAAACCAAAAACCTGAAGAAAAGCCAAGAATTTACCTGGTAGTAAAACTCTGGAAGTAATTGCTGCAAAATGTTGCAGAGATGCAGTATCTGCAGCTTCAAAGAGGGGAACAGATGCTGAAAAGCTTAAGCAGAGATGTTCCTTACAAGGATGCCTAAAATGGTGCTTGGGAAGCAGGGAGATGGAAAGGAAGAGAAACCATAGGAGATGTTGTCAAGGTAGCCTCCTCATGTGAATTCTCACCCTCTCTGTGAGAGACAGGCTGCTGCTCAGGGTTTGCCTGGCCTTGCAGAACACTTTGTGTATTCTGAAGAGAAAAAGCTGTATAATGCACCTGTTTATGTGAGCCTTGTCCCTGCTGTTTGAGCACCGGCCCTGTCTGACTGCTTGCTTGCTTCTTTCGTGTGTCTTCTGATGCATCAGGGGCAGGAGAGTTCAGGTAGCTCCTCAGTTTATGCACGTGTATGTCAGCTTTCCCTCCTAATGAGAGCAGGAGAGCCTCCTGAGGACGTGGAAACTGATCTCCTTGTTTTATCAGTGCGTTCTAGAGTAAAACTAAACGGAAGAACAAGCCCCAGCTCTGCAAAAAGAGGAGGAGTGGGAACTACATGAAGTTTATTATGCCCCGTCAAGTCTGCCAAGTCTAATCTGCCATTACAGAGAGAAAGCTGGCTGTGAAATGGTTGGGATTGACTGACAACATTTAGCTAACCACTGAGAATGATTTAGTCTTTGTAGTACAATTCACGTCTTTCCATCACGTCTGTGTAGCGTTTTCAAAGGAATTTAATTATGAGTGATGAACACTTAGCATTATGGCTGCGCTTTTCTCTGTAATACTGTCACTGATTTCTTTTCATCTGGACTTGTCGCTAGTATTAGCAACAGTCCCAGGTTTGCACCAAGCTTAAATTTGTAAAACTAGTAGTGTTTGGAGAGGAGGGAAGGAAAATCAAGAGACTTAGCTGTTTTCCGTTTGTTTTGTAAAAACACCTTTTGCTGATCTTTATGATGGTAATGTTCTGTGCACGTGCTACAAGTGTGCAAGAGTCATCTTTCTATGACAAGAAGAGAAACGGAGATCATGAGGTACTGTTAGAAGCAACAACTGATCTTCATTTCAGCAGAGACAGGCTTCTAAGCAGGCCAGCAGGTAAAAAATGAGTTTGTATGATATGATTTCCCCTTTACCAGCAGCTTTTAGAATGAGGAATGTAGCATCAATAGCAGGAAGAGTGGGAGACTGTTGAAAATTATACAGATGGGGATAAAATAAGCATGTAGAAATTATTGCTATTACTATATTACTGCACTGTCATGCATTATTATATTCTCTGTGTGCTCAAAAGAAACTGACGACTCCTTTTCCCTCCAGTCCCAACATGTTGGCATTTGCTTGCCTTTCCTGATGCTAATTTTATACTGAAGCTGAGGTGACCTTTACGTGTGCTGCTCTTTCAGGTGTTGTCAGACTTTTGCCCACACAATTATTATTTGCCTTACTAATGAAAGAAAGTGTTAGGGACTAACTTCCGTTACCCTTATTTTTTCTGTTCTTAGAAAACTATGCTAAGGAAAGGAAACTATTTGTTGGTAACTTCTGAATTTAGTAGTATCAACTTCAAAAGCAAACTTGCATTGGCCAGAAATAGCCAAAGAAGGAGACTGTGGGCTTGAAGTGCAAGGCAGTGGGCTGAGATTTCTTCCCTGTTTACAGGGAGAAGAATTCCTATCGTTTTCAAGTGTTTGTCTGCAGTCACAGTTGCATGTTTAAGAAAGATTTTTTTTTTCAGTACATCTTGCAAACATAATGAAGTTATACCTGGTGGATAGGCTTGCTGTTCTGCTCAGCCAGGTGAGTAAGGCCCAGTCATTGTCAAAACTCATGAATGTAAGAGCATCTGAATCAGAATCCTTGCTGTCAGCAAAGGGCTTCTTCCTCGAAATGCAAGCCAAAAATAATAATTAAAAATTGGAGAAGACGTATAGCTGATGGCAAGTGGGAGTTTGACATCCAGGGACGAGCTGTGGCACAGCTCACGTGGCCATACATCTTTTGAGGCTGGCAGTGTGCTCTGTTCTTATGCAACGTGCAGATAACATTTGTAATCTTAACTGGGGGAGGAAATGTAAAAGCTGTATTAGTAACCAAACTCTTGGGCCTCCTCCTGCCTTTGATCTTAGCCACCTTAATGAAATGTTTGAGTTAAGTACATTTGTTACATTGCCAGTGCCATCGCTGTTAAAAGACCCAGGGTTTTGAGGTTTTTGGGTGTTTTTTTTTTGTGAACAGAGCTGTTCATTTTAGCTGCTGAAAGATGATGCAGGTCAAAGGAAGAATGGCTGAGATTATCCCATCACAAACGTGGGTGTTTGCACAGAGATAGCCAGGTCTCCATCCATGGGCCCAAGCACCAGGCTGCTCTGCTTCCCACTTCCCTCGGGTGTTTCATTCAGCACATGTTTAGTTCCTCTGAAATGGAAAGCTGATGCAGATCTATGCCAGGCACTTACAGGAGGCATCGTAAGGCTCTGAGCCTAATTGGTGCCTCTGGTTTGGTATGGAAAGGCAAGGCGTGAGAGCGCTCTTTCTGTACAGCTATGAAACGTAGTAATGATTGTAGGTGAATCTTTAAAAAAAAAAAAAAATAATAATAAAGGGGGTGGGGAGAAAAGAACTGTTTCCATTCATCAATCCTTGTCCATCCTTCTGTTCCCTTCCCGAATCAGAACCTTCCCCTCCCTGCCCACCTGGCACCAGATGCGCTGTCAGGCACTGCTGTGTGTCCCAGGTCCTCCGAGTGGCAGAATGCAAAATCTCAGGTGACATTCACCTGGAAGAGCTTAGCCCTCAACAGCTGCAGCCCCTTGATTGCCTTGCCCGCCTCGGCGGCTCCGTGATGCCACCGTATCAATTGCTTGTCAATTCGGCTTAGCCGTGACTTTGACTGACTGGAATGAGGGAAGTGGGAGTGGGGTGTAGGCGAATGGTTAAAATTAATTGCTACATAAGAAAAAATTGAAAGATAATTATTCCTGCTTTCCTGTCAGTGCTCGAGGGTAGATGACCTCATTAACTTGCAGCTTGTACACAATTCAATTACTAGGAGATGGAAAATACATTTTTAATTACCTCGGTGGGTTGTGCTCCATTCATCTCCATTTGCATGGCTTTTTTACTGTTGTGTTCTGAAGTAGCGTGGTCTCACTAAGGCTACCATAAGAACCTGCTCCTTGCTACGATTATTCCTGCGTGAGGCAGGATGTGAAATGTGAGATATTAACCCTTTGGTGCCAAGTGAACTGGGAGGTCCTGGAGTGACACTGACATAGCTTTAGCTAGCTTGGCCGTTCAGAACATCTGAAGCTGAAGCAGGGTAACTTTCTTCCTTTGTGCATTTTGTTGCCACGTATTTTAAGAAAGCATTAAATTGGTGCATAATAAGCAGATCACCTAGTTAGACAAATATCATATCGATGTATGTCGTGGGAAAGGATTCTTTTGTAATTTCTAAAAGCTTATTGTGGCATTTACTGAATTAATGATGACTTAATTGTTTTAAATACATAGCTAGGCAATGATTTTAATGCGTGAGTTTTTAAAACTGTCAGTTGTGTGTTGAAGTGCACAATACACGTGGAAAGAATATTTGTTCATCCCTAGTCATTTAATTTAAAACTATCGCAGCACTGAAGCTCAGAGCGAAGGGCTGAGGAAGGGCTGTGATTCACTGTGCAGATTTTTTTCCACCAGTGGGAACAGGACATTTGGTATGAGCTGTGTTTGGTGCCCTCTGCAAAAGTAATTTGGGGGCTGTAAAGTAGGTGCTCTTAATCTATTCATAGAAGCTTTGTCATGAAGACAGCAGTCCAATTCCTTTGTAAGGAGCAAGATAAGGCTCTTAAGTGCTTTCTGACAACTATTTTTTTCGGGTTTTTTGGGAGGTTTTTTTTTGTTTTTAGTAATCTGTAATGATTTAGAGTTAGGTTTGTAGACCTGATGCTGCTGAGGTCTTCAGTGAAGACAAAATTCATTACATTTGCATGAGCTTCTCTCATGTTACCAGGTGCACTGCTTAATTTGCATAGCAATATTTATATTATTCTTCAAGAGGTAGCAAACTCAATTTGTCAAAACTGTTGAGCCAAGAGGCATAGCACAAAGTAAAGAAACGTTTTAGAAACACAGCCGATACGTGGAAGTGAATGTGAACTGGACACAACCTGAACGTATTGGCTGGAGGAAATCAACACCAACTTGGGTTGCTTGGAATATGTTCTGTCCTATTTCCCGTCTGTCTCCCTTTATGATTTTATTATTTAATTAGTATCTGTTGGTTTAAAGAAAAAAAAAAAAAGGTTGTCTAAAATATTTATAGGGTTTCTGTGACTGGCTGGCCTGTCAAGGCTATGAGATATATGTGACCGCAGCAGAATTTTTTATAGTGTTCTAACAGTGCTCCCATTAAGGGGAAATGAATATAAATGGTAAGATAATAATTGGAAACTGACTTAAATGTGACATTTGGGCCAACATCAGTGATTCTGTAGTGTTAATACATTTTCAAATGACACATAGGCAAAACCTTTTAGAATATCATGAGAGAGACTGGTTCAGCCAGGGTTTCTTTGTGATTTCTGTGTGTGTTAAGCAGCCATTGCCCTCAGTGTTGACAGCAGAGCAAAACTCTTTCTGCAACCTTGGTTCTGTCCTCTACCACCTACAAACAAATGACAGCTGTACTGTTTGCAAATGATGGATCCCATTGTGACCTTTAGGTCTGGATTATTCTTTTTACTGTTTGAGAAGGAGCTTTTCCTGTCTGCGAAGTTCTTGTTAGAGCAAGTTTGTGATGGATGACTGCAATTTCAGGCTTCTGCTGTTGTGTGCACATAGAGGTCCCAGTTCCACAGTATCTTGTCCTGTGGGCTGCTGTGGCTTTGTGGAACAGCCTTGTTCTGTGTTACATGGTGCATCACTGGGCTGAAAATGGTGGGTGATGAAAGATGCTCTTCTCAGTTTACACAATGGATATGAGAGGAAGCAGAAGCTAGCCAACAAACCCCACGTACATGAACTAAACTTCTTTTGGATGAATTCAGGAGCGTAGTAGTGGCAGAGTACAGCTAAAGGTCTCACATCTATAACTGAAAGGATGTTATGCCAATTACTATTTCATTACAGTAAGTAGATTGAAGTCTCACAAAACATGCTGTTTAAGGTTCTCAAAATCTTCAGTAAGTCAAGGCTGATCATCAGCTGCTTAAACTGCAAAGCCCAGTGTTCTCTTACAGCCTCTGAAAAAGGGCTCATTAAAAGGATTAAAGAAAACCCAAACCACCACAACTATGTATTAAGTAAAGAAATAGGCTTCTTTGTAAAATGTTTCACACATAATCTAACTCATTAACATAATAAATTGCTGGGAGCCCTATTGGAATATCATATAATTAAATAAATTCCATACGGGCCACATAAGTTAATGTTTTCTTCTTGGAAAATTGTATGCCTTGGCAAATAAAGTATTCAGAGGATTAACTGTAAAGAAAAAAAAACGGCTTTGCGTAATTATTCTCTCTTCTAATTTGAATTAGACATAATTACATTTCCTAAATATGAAAGGAAAATAAGTGTGATCTATAGAGAACAGACAACACCACCGAGACAAGTCTGTCTTTGTTTCCTGACCCATTAAGCGACAATTATGATACTTGTGTTAAACATCTTAGAAGTGGCGTGAACTTGCCATAACTCTTCACTTTTTATGCTTGAAAAGATCATAATAGGGAAAGCTTTTGCTCTCCTATCTTTAAATGGAGTTCAGATTATTACTTGTGCTATGCAAAAAGTTCACAGAAAAATGTCAATGCATCAAGCACTGCTTTCATCACATACATGAGTTAAAGAAGTGCTCTTTCTGTAACTCCAAAACATCATAGCTAGCTGCAACAGACTGTTGTAAGCCTCCATAGAACACATGCATGCTGCACTGTTAAGTGCCTGTGCCTTTTCAGTGGAAAGCATAGATGTAGCTTGCTGATGTCCAGTGTCTTCATGCACATCTACTTGACTTGCATCACTGTTGCAAGCTGTGAATGTACCTCTTAGTTCTCTAGTTTTTCTTCTAACTTAAATAATTGCTATTAATAGCTAATATATAACATAACTGAAGGGCCCGTGTACAGACTGCTGTGTTTTGCACTGTTGCAGTCATTTCTCATTGTGTATTTTGGCTCATGGATTTTGAGAAAGGCCAGTGGAAAATTCTCTTGCTGTTGGTCCAGTATCTCCTGTTACTTACAGAATTTCATTGGTACACTGTTCTATCTCTGCTAATTTCTTATCTCCATCTGTAAAATGTTGTGGGACCTCTCGATTTGCAGCAGCTTTGGCTATTTGTGTAGAAACCTCTGCTGTTGCTACTTCTCTATTGTATGTATTATACGTATCTATAAGCAGATTAAATAGTGAAGGGTGTTCTGAGAGTTAGTTACCTTCTTTGCTACTTTAGTTGTCTGTTCTGCAGATTCCTCTTGCTCTGTTATATCACAATCCTGGCTTTTTATCTCGCTTTCCTACATTTTAAGTTCATTTTTATTGCCACTACTTTAAATATGTTTTTACTTCTTTGGAGTTATTTAACTTGCCTAACTTCTCCCAGCATGAGCTATTTCCAACTTCAGTCTTTACAATAAATAAATCACTTCCTCATCTTAAAACGTTACTGTGGCTTACATGATATTATGTTCTTCAGGGTGTCAGCTTTGACTGTTACTGCTGTTGATCTCATGCTTATTCTCGTCCAGTCCTTCCATGTTTGTGTAAGAGTGACTCCAAGATGCTACCAACTTCTT